ATTGCTTGAAATATTGTATGGCTTGCTACACAACACCCACCCTTATTACTTTCAATTTCCAAGTGCAACCAAAAGATGGGTCCAATTATGACATCAATACAAGCTTTCTTTCAAAATGGAATGAAAGAACAGTAAATCCCAGTGGACACGGTGGTTCTGCAGCAGAGATGATGTAATATACAAAAATAGACATCCTCTAACAGAAGCTGAAACTTGGGTAAACAGCACAGTGCATACTATTCTCAACTGCCTTGCATGAATTTGCAATGCATGCTGTTACTAGAGCGAGAGAAATCATTTTATGTTTTAAACTGTTTCCTGACTTACATTTCAATTTCTATACTTCCTCTATATTGTAATTTCCCAATCTGTATAAATTAAATCAGCATAAATACCTGATTGTAACTGCAAGCAAGAAAAACAGCCCCCCACTCCAAAGCAAGGAGACTGAGACCACGGCAGTAGTGTTAACGCTGCATTTTGTCAGAAAGTGCAGCACATACGGCACAGGATTGCTATGTCCACCTATTGTTCAAAGACCTTTCCACAGGGAGCTTTCTGCAGGATTTTAAAATGCAACATGATCTAAGTGAAGAGCAACCAGCAAACCTGCTGATAATGAGCGTGAAAAAGCAAAGGATACTTCTGACACTCTTTAAAAAGACTCTCTGATGCAAATATAAAACATCAGGCATGAATGTGATAAATATTATCTGGCAAAATTTGTGATTGGGGGACTAATATGTCACTCCTCTCTATACACATACCCTTTTCTATTCTTAATTCCCCAATTCAGTCTTCACATTTCTATTGGACTTTGTGGATTAAAATATATTTTTCTTTGAGCCAAAATATTAAAGCCATGCCTGATTCCTCAAGGCGTCCCTGTCTACAGGCCCCTTAGTGCCTACAGTTCCCTTTATTTTATAATATAGCTCCCTATATTATACTTCTCTGGATTCCCTGTGAGATTATAAAGTCACTAAGAGCAAGATTCTGTCTGTCCAGTAAACTTTTTATAGCTCTAGAGTCTGGCACAGACCTGAAACAAGGTGGGTATTCAATAAATATCTGTTAAATGAATAAAAATATATAAGTGAAATTACTAACTGAGCTTTCCTCCCTATGACATAAGAAATAGAATACACAAATTTTCTTTAACTCCATCCTATTGTAATTCACAGGCAGGCATCGATGACAATATTTTAGACAAAGGTTTAGGTTCAATTAAGAAATTAAGGAATTTAAATTAAAGAAGAATAAAAGTACCGAAATTAATAGATTGTCTCTGTATTTGAATACTTTCTCTATATGCATATAAAAATATTTCAAAATTATATGAATAAATTGGTCAGGTGGAATATAATATATAAATTGATAGTTGTAAGTTAAAATCCTATGACCTTCATATTCAAGAAGTTTAGTAGATACACAAGTCATTAATTTATTATGCAAAACACATTCTGTTAAGTAGCAAATATTAGATTGAACTAAGACCTCAGTAAAAAATTAAGTAAATAATAAGTGGTAAAGCAAAGTCATGATATGAGTAAAACTATTACCTATTTCTAATTCAAGAACAATAGCAACAATCAAAAAGTTTAATATCAAATAAAAGTGTATAATTACACAAATATCACATTTTGTTCATTTGTTTCAGTAACTAAACAATGTTTTAAAACTAACCAAACCTACCAAGAAGTCCTTAACTGAAGATGAAACCAAATTAAATTAAATCTATCTCTCTAAAAGAAAAATCTACTTCATAGATATATAAAATATAACCTAGGAATAACTATAGAATGATTGTAAGAAAAAGGACTTGTCTTATATTATTATAAAGAATAACCTTAAAAAAACTGGGACTTATTTTCATAATCATCTTACACGGGTACCATATTTTATAGATATTGTTGTATCACTGAGTATAATAAAAAATAATTCCAATAATGATGTAATATTATGTCTAATTCAACTTACATTATATTAATTGTATACAATATTTTAATTACTTTTGTATACCTGTACCAAGAACTTTAAACTAAGCCTAATCTACGAAAAAATTCAATACATAATTATTAAACAGTGCTCTGAAGTAAATATTCACATTGTAATAAAGGACTACTAATAAAATGTGAGGGACATATCTTTTTGTATGACGGACCAATGGATTTTCATTATTTCAAAACTTCTACATTGACTGAAACTTTGTTATACTGTGTTCAAATCTTCCCTGTTCAAATTTGTATAAAGCAGAGTCAGTCTTTTCTGGGCAAGTAGGCGTGGGAGTGAAAAGTCGATCAAAGTGTGAAGAGCGCCCTGGCCGGTTTGGCTCAGCGGTTAGAGCGTCGGCCTGCGGTCTGGAGAGACCCGGGTTCGGTTCCCGCTAAGGGCACGTACTTCGGTTGCAGTTTGTCCCCGGCCCTGGTTGGTCGTGCGGGTGGCAGCCACTCGATGTGTCCCTTCACGTCGATGTTTCTCTCTCTCTCTCCCTTCCTCTCTCTCCCTCCCACTCTATCTGTACAAAAAATGGAAAAATATCCTCGGGTGAGGATAAAAAAAAAAAAAAAAAAAAAAGTGTGAAGAGCAATTCAATAATGCAACCAGCCTAAAAAGGCTGAACATTTTTTGAAATGTCCATTGATAACCTCCCTAGTGTAGCCAAGACAAGTTTTCTTCAGCCTTCAGTCTAATATCACTGTACCATTTTTGCTCTTTCTAAACTCAGAAGAGGGTAGAGCTTTTGGTTTGTTTATTTTCATTAAAATAAAGGAAAAATAAAAAAGATGACAGAACAGGTATGTACCAGCTTCCCCAACATTCCAGTCCTTCGTCCCCTTAAGTCCTACTACCTTTCGCACGCGCGCGCGCGTGTGTGTGTGTATGTGTGTGTTTTGGGGGGGGTTAATCCTCACCGAAAGATATTTTTTCCATTGATTTTTACAGAGTGGAAGGGAGGGAGGGAGGGGCAGCGAAGAGGGGTGGGAAAAGAAACATTGATGTGAGAGAGACGCATCGACTGACTGCCACCGCACGTGACCCAACCAGGCTGAGGCTCAAACCTGCAACCCAGGTACGTGCCCTTTATTGGGAACTGAACCTGAGATCCTTCGGTACAGAGGCCACTGCTCCAACTACTGAGCCACATCAGCCAGGGCTCTCCTGTCCATTTTTATTGTGGAACTCCGATTTCCCTACTCACAGAAACTTCTCAAATAAATTACCCATGAACACACAGAGGCCCTGTATATGGAAAAAATAAAAAATTACCCCACACCACCCACCCTGTTCTGAACCTGGAGACAAGGTTCAAAGCCCCAAGTCAATCTCCAAATCTTCAGCCTCTGCCAGGAACCTACCTACTACCTGCCCCATACTCGTTAGCCACTCCAAGACTGACAATTCATGCCACATCCTATTTTCTGGTTGTCTTAACACAGCTTCAAATACACCTTTAAAAAAACCATGATCCAATATTTTCAATTATGACCATGCTGTTGCCAAAATTAGGTTCAGAATATAATCTAAATGTAAGGAAATGCTAATGAAAGCCATCTCCAATCTTATCTTCTCACTGCATTTTAAAATATTTATTCTGTCAGCAAATCTCACACACTTGCCTTGAAAACTGTCCTGATAACACTCTACATGGTATTCATGTTTCTGAAGAAATTTATTATCATCTGTTTTAAACTATTGCAACACATCTGATTTTTAAACATATACATAAGATATACATCAAAATTCACTGCACATTTTAAATTCAATTTCTAGTTCTAAATAGGAATTAGACTAACTGGTAATTTTTCACATTAAAAAAGGAGGAGGATTAATTACACACTGAAGTATCTTTTAAAATATTGTTTTATATTTTTAAAGTGTAATTGTACCAGGTAAAAGCTCCAAACACTAGTGTTAATTTTAAAAATTTTGATATAAAATTTAAAAACTGTATTAAAAAAACTTTGGATTTACCAATCATTTTAAAATTAGCAGTGCTTCTAAAATACAATATAGCAATCATGCCACCTGTGGCATTTTAATATGCATATTTTTGTATAGAACATAAAGTAACTGCCTCATTTTAATGTGAAAAATTTCATAAATATTTCATGCTATCAGGCAAGGTTATTATAATAGCCTAAGATATTATATTGATGACAGATTTCTAATGTGAATTAAATTATTCATGATCTTTTTCCTGTGCATGAAGAAACCACAACCACAAAATTTTACTAGTTACTTAAATCAATTAATTTTCAGAGATAAATCATTTTTAATTCCTGGATTTCAAATTCCCTGATAAACCCAAATGTGACCCACAATTTCAAAAGAGTCTCACTGAAAGTCATAAATTAGTCATGTAAACTGTCATGAAAGAAATGAGCGAAGGTATTATTATAGGCCTCTTGATTAAAATATAGAATGAAAAGCATGAAATCTGGTTAAAAATAAAGCACAAATAAGAAAATACAAGCGATTTTAAATTCTTATTTCCTTTTTGGCTACGGCTTTATTCTATCTGACTCTAACTTTACCAGTGGTCTCTCGAAATTCTCTTTCATTGAGATTCTTGACGTTTACAAGCTTTCATTTACAGCATGTAAAATGAAAATTTCGAGTGGAAATTTTTCATACGCTTTCACACAAAAAGCATTAAACTTCCATATGTCTACCTCTCTGTCTTTCTCTCTTCATTTCTTTACTTGTAAAACAGGTTAGTAAAGAGCAGTGCTCCCCATTCTTAAAAATAAGTAGGTTTCACTCTTTCTTCAAAGAAAGCAGGCAATTCATCCCTGGATCTGTACAAATAAAGCAGCCTGTGCCATCACCTACACCACTGAGAATTTCAGATTCTTAAGAGATTTTACTAATTCAGGGCAAAATACAAAAGAACAAGACTAAGCAAAACATATCAATATTATAAACTCATTAGTTACAATGCAAATTTACAAATAAAATTAGGTTAGTATTAGGAGACCACACACAAATTACAATACCTGGGATTTAGTGCATTCCTTTGAGCCAAAATGAAATGAGTGCCATAAAGGAGGAAAGGAAAAGATGAACATTATCAGACATGCTATAGTACATCTGCCAAAATGAAGATCATGTTAAAATTAGGTTAAGAATGACCATATAGAATTGGCTATATGTACACTGTCCTCAATGTTCTTCAGCCATGCATTTGAAATGTACCTGCAGTCATTTAAAATCACCTGTGAAGTATGATCATGCATCCTGTAAATAAACTTTTCACCCTCAGTGCCTACCAGGGTTCTTTCAAAGAGAAATATTTTGGTTGAGAGTAAGTAAATATGACTTAGAGCTAATAAAGAAAAATTATTTTTATTTAACTCTTTTTTATTCTGTGGTATCACATACACAAAATTGTTTTCCTAAGTTAAAATACGATATTTAGGTAAAACAATAAATGTTATATAAATATAATTAAAACATAATTTACACCAAAAAAACAAGGATCCAGTATTTTCAATTAAAGCTATGTTGTTGCCAATCTAAACTCATTGAGTAAAATCAATACCAACATGGCACATATTAGTAAACTAGCACGTGATCCATTAGCAATCAAGTTATATTTTTCATCCTAGTACTGAGTTTTCTCTAACAAAAGTACCTGTTGACCAGGTAAAAACTTTTTTAATCACTTTAAAAGACTAATCTTGTAATAAGGAAAACACTACACATTTAAAAAATTTAGATGCAAAACGGGGAGTAACACAGGGAAAGTGATGGAAGTATTCCATAAAGAATGAAAACATGGATGGGAGAGAAAAGCGGTTATAAAACGATTCCCCCAAATTAAGAGTGACAAACCTAAAATTACACCAATCAGGTTTAACACTGAATTTTATCTAACTGACACTCCCACCAACTATCTTGGTATGGAATCTGATATCGAAAAATAATTCTAAAACAGAAAGAATACAGGGTGGGGCAAAAGTAGGTTTACAGTTATTTGCATGAAAAATACAATAATTAATAAATAATAACACAAGAATATAAACTCTGTTTTCTGTACTCACTGTAAACATACTTTTGTCACTCCTTGTATTAGTAATATTAGCACGTGGCTAAAATATATTATACTATTAATATGTACGGCTATTTTTAATCTACATTTCCTTCTTACATCAACACTAAAAACACTACCTTCTTTTGTAGACAATGGTAACAAAAAACCTTTCATAGCTTTTTTATATATATACCAAATCTCTCCAACAGACAAACAAAGCTGTCTTTATGATGAGCAAAAAGCAACCCTTTCCAAATGAGCTCAATGAAAGGATTCAACTATAAAATTCATGTTAAAATAAAATAGTGCCTGAGTAGTGAGAGAAGTAGGTGGGTAGCTGGTGGTCAAAAGTGCTTAAATATTCAAATACAAAGAGCTCTCACAAACAGAACCTAAGAAGTGTGAGTATAAAAGTTACTAAAAACTGAATACATAATTTTAAGTCTATATACATTTTCCCACACCTTTTGCATTTATACTTATTTGTAAAAAGAAAGAAAAAGACAGGTTAGGAAAACAAACGTAAAATGTCACGTAGTTGTCAATTACCTATTTTTATTTTTTCATAGTTTTATTTTAAAATTTCACATATAGCGACTACTCGCTTAATGGTACTACATGTATAGATAAAACATCTTTGGTCATATTATAACATATGTAAGAATTCAAGCAGCTTTCTTGTTGAAAACAGAAATCCTCAAGTATATGTGCAACTGCTTTGGACAGTGCAGCCAGGCAGAAAGAAATTAAAAATAATAATAAGGTTCTAAAACTGCCTGTATTGGGATCTACTACTAATCAACCATCTGTGTCTTAGTTTCCTCAAACATAAAAAATAGTTTACTTATCATATATTTATGAATAAATGAAAATCAAGCACTTAAGAAGATCTTTGAACCTCTTAGAAATACTTCACACCATCTTTACACTGGGATTTTTAAAAGCATCATTTCAAAATATGCTTATTTCACTTCATCAGATTAGAAACAAAAAATTCTCAGAAAAGATTCTCAGAATGTTATGTAATTAACATGTAATTTTTTATAGCTACTTTTTAAATAAAAACAGATATGATCCCAGTCATTGGGATAGGGTGGTGGCTAAAATTTTAGATTAAGAACTTAAAATATCCCAGTCACAATTATACATGCTGATCACAAAGCTGATCTTCAGAGACCATTTTGAGAAATAAAAAGACTAACTAATGTCTTTTGAGGTCTTATTTCAGTGCCCTTTAAAACTAATTCATATTATGTGTGTTTCTAGCAAAATCTGCAGTTTGGGTAAGTATCATCAGAAATAGAAAATTTAAATATCTTTTCACAAAACTCTCAATAAAAAAATTAAACACAAATAAATATATCATAATTTTATAACTTACCGTATGATAGCCTCTAGGTAAAGGTGGTTTGCCCACAGGATAAGGATCCACAGTGTCAATAATTGTTTGCCTTTCACCTTTCTGGTTAATTTTTCTAAATCTCCTTCGAGACTGTCGATGAGAAGCTTGACGCTGAAAATATTCTTCATTTTCATCCATATAGTCCACCTGAAAAGAAAAAAAAGCCCCCAAAATTTCATTTCTTCAAACACAACATTCCATATCAAGATTAAAATCAGAATAAAACTTACAGATAGTTCATATTCATTCATTTTGCAAAGACATTTGTAGCCAAACTACCTAAACAGATTTTAAGTGCTTTGGAACTTCTCTGGAACTAACTGGTTTTAAGTAACTTTTCTTTTACGAAGAGGCATTTTCAGTTCCACTTAGGACAATATGGGTAACTCTTGAATTTCCTGTAGTTTCAAAAGGAAGGATATTTTCAGTAGTCTTTGTACTGATCTAGTAGTGAAAGAACTCACTGGATACATTACCACACATTATGAAAGTAACTGCCCCATTGTCAACTAAAGCACAAAAACACTGGTGTATATAAGTAAATCTGTAAAAACCCCTGAATCCCAAATGATTTCAATAAGACTGCTAGCAGAATGGCTTTGGTAGATTCCCTGAGGGTTTCTCTTCCTACTTTCATTCTGTGGATTAAGTTTCTTTTTTTATAGTGTTGGTTTGCTTTTTTAAAATCCTCATTTTAAACATTTCTGAAACTCTGATGAATGGACTAATAGAGAATACATTACATTAGGGTAATCCTCACCATACTGATATAATGAAATGTGATTGCTCACTATAAGGCATATTTAGATGCTAAAACTATTCTCACACTAGCAACGCTGGTTGTTTGTATAATATTAGCAAGCATAAAATTTTCAAGGAACTTTGAAGATCAAAAAGCCTTCAGAGAAACAAAAAATAGCACTAATGAAGTCCAAAATCTCTAGGAAATAGCTAAAATCTTTTAAAGACCTGTACCAGCAAGATTCTATTTATCTGCCTACATTTTTTCAATCCCAAATCTTTAGTTACCACCATGCTACTTTCTTTCTTAAGAGTAAATTTTGTGAAATTTTACCAGAAGTTTTCACTAGCTTTGATGAGAAACTTATTTCCTATGGAATTCCTCTCCTGCATCATAGGGAAAAACCCTATTATCTTCTCTAAAAACAGAATAGTAGTCTACCAAGTACTTTATTAAATGTGAACTAAAAGCGTCCATCATCATCTATATTAGGCCACCATTTATTTTACAAGATTTTCCTTATAAAAGGATTCTGGAAGAGGAATAATATATCATTATCAATTAAATGTCTAAACTGGGAGTTCCTTCCATCTTACTTTTGTTGCTGATTTTTACAAAGGGCCACATCAGTTTTATATAGTAAAGGAAGAATGTGACAGGCTTTTTTAAAGCATAAAAAAAATGTTGCTGCCCTGGTGGGCATAGCTCAGTTGGTTGGGCTGTTATCCCAGTGCACCAAAAGGTTGCTGGTTCAATTCCTAGTCAGGGCACATGCCCAGGTTGTGGGCTCAATCCCCTGTAGGAGGAGGCAGCCAATCGATGTTCTGCTCTCACATCAGTGTTTCTCTCTCTCCCTCTCCCTTCCTCTCTCTCTAAAAAGCAATCAAAAAATCTTTTTTAAAAAGTTGCTAATATCAATTTTAACATTTTTTATGTATATGTCTTATCTAAATATAGTTTGTAAATCACACAATTCAGTTAACAAGAGATAAATAACTCAACAGAGTGTTTAACCAGCAAACTAATTCCCCATTTTTATTTCAATTAGTTAAAAAAAAACTGAAGTGATTTCCTTATGGCCACTGTTGCCTGCATACATATCACCTTGACTCATTTTAAGTTATCTCTCTCATTCCAATCAATTTTTAGAGAGCCAAGATCCTGCAATTCATTCTCCTGAAATTTCAAGTACATGGTACTATCACAGATTGATTTACAAAGTTCCAGCACCACACATTTAGGCACTTGCCCCTTTAAACTTCCTATCTTTTTCAGTTAATTGAATCCTTTCACTAAGTACAATGATTATAAACTCAAATTTATAATAAAAGTTATAAAATACATATATCCAAATTTATAAAATATATAGTACACTGTTATAAGTAGTTTGTGAAAGTGCTTTTATTTTGTAACAATTTTAGGGGAAAAAATTGTCTTCAAAGGAGTCTTCTTACCACAATCATTTCAGAAGGCTCTAAAACAATGCATTCACAGCCACGCCTAAAGCTTCCTGCAGAACGCTTGCCGAAACTAGAAAAGAAAAAAAAAAGATTTAAAAAATATTAATTGTGAATTTAAGCCAACCCTCAAGAGCAAAAATAAAAAAATTAAAACTACAAGAAGCACACACTGGAGAAAGAGTAACTATTAATCATTATTTACACAGAATGACAAGGAACCATTCAAATTAAAATTTCAGACACATATTTTTCTAGAAAATTCCAGCATAATGTTTTCAAATTAATAACGTAAAGCATCAGAATGAATATGTTCTGCGCTGGGCTGTTTTAAATCATTCCCAGTTAGGTAAAGCTTTAGAATATATATCTATTTTTTTAATCCTCGCCCAAGGATATTTTTCTATTTATCTTCAGATAGAGTGGGAGGAAGAGAGAGGAATAGAAAGGGGGAGAGAGAGAGCGAAACATCGATGTGAGAGGGACACATTGACTGGTTGCCTCCCACACGACCCCGATCAGGGCCGGGGACGAACAGTAACCAAGGTACATGCCCTAGGCTGGAATCAAACCCGAGGCTCACTGGTCCGTGGGCCGACACTCCACCGCTGAGCCAAACTGGCCAGGGCAAAGCTTTAGAATATTATAATAGAGATGGGAAATGAGTCAATGGTAAACTATAAAAAATTTTTTAAAAAGTATAGAGTGTATATAATTCCCTTCTATAACTTAAGTGGTTTTGATTCAAATTTTTTCACCTAAAAAGTGTATTTACTTTTCTAAATTTTCAAATCTATTTACGCTAAAATTTTAAAGAAAAAGGTATTCTTAAGTCTTATTTTTCTTAGCTATAAAGTGATTAAGTGGATATGCATATTAAATTCCTCCTGAAAACTATACTAGTGAACTCAAACATAGCACCTTTGCCCTATCTGTAAGAATTGGCACGTTAACACCAGAGCAGATTTATTCTCTCTCACATTATATGACGACTAGAACAATAAAGAGAAAATCCTGGCCCAGCTAGGTAATCCTGACTTGCTCTACTACTGCACCCCCCATCCCTACCCAATCGCTACTCCAAAAATCCTCCCTTCCCTACTGTCAACATTTTAGTAACCATTTTTAATAAACTATCTTTAGGAAAAATATGAGAAAAAAATTCTTCCAAAGAACTACTTTGTAAAGCAATTTTTTCCAAGTTAATTGTTGACATTTTGAGTGACTCCTATGGACAGTCTTGTTCTGTTGATAATCCTCTTTATAAATGGTGATACACAATGCATCAAACTTTCTAGTGAAAAAGTCATGTAAGATGAAGAGACCAGGAAAGTCAATATTTCACTGTATTACTGTGATCTCTAGCAAACCAACTAGACCATTTTCATATTCTAAATTTTACTCATATTTAAGAATATCAGGTTAGACTAGGCCATAACTTAAGTCCTTGCCTGCTCCAAAATTGTTGCTATGAAAATCAAAAACAGAATCATACTTAGGATATCTGGAAAAAAAAAATGTTTTAATATTTATTTGAATTCCTACATATATACTCACACATACAAATGTTCCTTGGTGCCACTGTCAGAAATAGACAATTGAATGAATTAGTTTTTATTACATGTTATAAGAAACTATAAGTGATCTACAGATTCAAAACAATATCTATTAAAATTCAAGAGCCCTTTTCACAAAGTGGAAAAGTCAATCTTCAAATTCAAATGGAATTGCAAGAGGCCCTAATTAGCCAAACAATTGTGAAAAAGAACAAAGTCACAGAACTCACATCCCACTTCTTGATTTTGAAATTTACAGTAGGAGGAATCAAAACAGTATGGTACTGGCACAAGGACAGACAAGAATAAAATAAAATTTTAAGTCCACAAATAAACCTATATATCTATGGCCAACTGACTTTTAAGGTGTGAAGTTCATTCAACAAGGGAAAAAAAGCTTCATCAACAATAGTGAGACAACTATATTTACACATGAAAAAAATAATGAAGTTGAACTCCTACCTCTCACCATAAACGAAAATTAAATCAAAATGGATCATTTACCTAAATAAAAGAGACAAACCCATAAAACTCTTACATAGAAAAACATAAGAATGAATACTCATGACCTTGGATTTGGGATTGGGTTCTTATACGTGACAACAAAAGCATACTCAGCAAAGAAAAAACAGATAAACTAAACTTCATCAAACTTAAAAACTTCTGTGTATCAGACTAATGTTATCAAGAGTCTGAAAATACAATCTAAAGAATGGGAGAAAATATTTGCAAATCATGTATCTGGGGAGGGTTAAATGTCCAGAATATATAAAAAACTCCTAGAACTCAACAACAAAAAGACAACCCAATTAAAAAGTAGGCAAAGGACTTGAATAAGACCATATACAACCAGCAAATAAGAATATGAAAAGTTATACCCTGACTGGTACGGCTCAGTTGGTTGGAGCATTGTCCCATATATCAAAAGGTAGTGGGCTCCACTCCCCTTCAGGGCACATACCCACGTTGCAGGTTTGGTCCCTGGTCAGGGCATGTTCATGAGGCAACCGATTGATGTCTCTCTGTCACCTCTCTTTCTCTCTCTGTCCCCACTTCTCCCTCCTTTCCTCTCTCTAAAAATCAGTAATTTTTTTTAAAAAAATTAAATGTTGAATAGAAACAGATGCATAGATTGGAGAACAGACTGATTGTTGCCAGGGGGGAGCGAAGTTGGGGGGGCTGGGTGAAAAGGGTGAAGGGATTAAAAAATACAAATTGGTACTTTGAAAATAGACATAAGGCCCTGGCCAGTTTGGCTCAGCGGTTAGAGTGTTGGCCTGCAGTCCGGAGAGACCTGGGTTCGGTTCCCGCTAAGGGCATGTGCCTCAGTTGCAGTTTGTCCCCGGCCCTGGTTGGTCGTGCGGGTGGCAGCCACTCGATGTGTCCCTTTCACATCGATGTTTCTCTCTCTCTCTCTCTCTTCCTCTCTCTCCCTCCCGCTCTACCTGTGCAAAAAATGGAAAAGTGTCCTCGGGTGAGGATTAAAAAAAAAAAAAAAAAGAAAATAGTCATAAGGATGTAAGGACAGTATAGGAAATATAGTCAGTAATATTATAATAACTATGTATAGTGCCACGTAGGTACTTGAAATATCAGGGAGGGAGGGATCACTTTGTACAGTATATGATTGCCTAATAAAAATAACATTGAATGTAAACTATAATTGAAAAATCAGGACATTTTAAAAATAATATAAAAAGTTGTTCAACATCCTTACTCATTAGGGAAAAGCAAATTAAAACCACAGTGAGATACTATTTCACAACTGACACTAGATGTGAATGAGATACTAGGATGGCTATCAATTAAAAAATAATAATAATCAGTGATAAAGAAAATGCAAAGAACCTGGACCCCTTGTACTTTGCTGGTGGGAAGGTAACATGCAGTCATTGTGGAAAACAGTTTGGCACTTCCTCTAAAAGTTAAACATGGAATTACCATAATTCCACTGCCAAATAAATATTCAAAATACTGAACATAGGAACTCAAACAGATATCTGCATACCAATGTTCACTGCAGCATTATTCATGAGAGCCAAAAAGGGAAAACAGCGCAAGAGCCCATCAACAGATGAATGTATCAACAGCATTAACAAAGCGTGATATATACATACAGTGGAATATTAGCCATAAAAAGGACTGGAGTTCTGACACAAGCTACAACACAGATAAGCCTTGTAAGCATTTTGCTAAGTGCAATTAACTAGTCACAAAAGAACAAATATTGTATGATTACAGTCATATGAAATATCAAGAATAGGCAAACTCATAAAGAAAGATGGTAGATTAGAGGTCAGGAGGGATTGGAGGAAAGCTTTAATGGTTACACAGTTTCTGTTGGAAGTTCTGGAACTTAAGTTTTGGAAACAGGCAATGGTGATGATTGCACAACGGTGTGATTATAATTAATGCCCTGAATTACACACTTAAAATTGTTAACATAGCATATTTTGTTTTGTGTGTGTGTGTATGTACAAGTATATGTAACAAATTTTAAAAATCTTATAAAACCAACTTTTCACCCTGGCCGGGTGGCTCAGTTGGTTAAAGCATCTTCCTGCACACCAAAAGGTTCGTTCATTTGCTTCCCAGTCAGGGAGCATACAGCAGGAAACCAATGGATGTTTCTCTCATCTCTCTCTCTCTCAAATCAATAAATGTATCCTCAGGTCAGTATTTTTTTTAAATCTTAAATCTCTCAGGGTGGAGAATTTTATTTATTTTTTTAATCCTCACCTGAGGACATTTTTTTTCATTTTTTGTTCAGATAGAGTGGGAGGGAGAGAGAGGAAGACAGAGAAAGAGAGAGAGAGAAACATCGACGTGAAAGGGACACATCGAGTGGCTGCCACCCGCACGACCCAACCGGGGCCGGGGACAAACTGCAACCGAGGTACATGCCCTTAGCGGGAACCGAACCCAGATCCCTCTGGACCGCAGGCCGATTCTCTAACCGCTGAACCAAACCAGCCAGGGCTCAGGGTGGAGAATTTTAAAAAGACCAACTTATCAAGAGAATTTTTGTTTGTTTCAATGGCTCTGAGTTTCTTGGCAAAACTTAAGGACTTGAATAAGAAAAAGTTGAAACTCTAGTTTAACCAAAGAACAACAAATCTTTAGGGGCAAAGGAAGAGCCAAGTTTGTGACTCAACTATACCATTGATAAACCTGGAACCAAGCTCTTTAGTAATGAAGTAAGCAATGAAGTAATAGAAGTTGTAGTCAAAAGAAAACTAGGAAAAGATGAGAAAAACTAAACAAATATTACTGAATTTTTTTTAAATTTGTTTTTATTGATTTCAGAGAGAGGAAGGGACAGAGACAGGGAGAGAGAGAGAGAAACATTGATGTGAGAGATACATCCAACAGCTGTCTCCTGCATGACCCCCACCCAGGATCAAGCCTGAAAATTGAGCATGTACCCTCACTGGGAATTGAACCAGAGACCTCCTGGTGCATGGTACAACGCTCAACCAACTGAGCCACACCAACCGGGATTACTGAAATAGTTTAAATCAGAGTTCTGAAGACAGTCAATTATACCTACATTTTTCTTTTACCCAGCATTAATCCCATTTTTGTTTTATCCCTGACCATAAATTAGAGGCCACCCCCTACCGCCCTATCTCTACACATATATATATGGGAACAGAGAGAACATTTTGCTTCCTCTTCCAAATAATAACTGGATACATATTATACAATCGATATAAACTCTGTAATTAATACAGAGCTTATAAGAATCTCACTAAATATAGACCCTACTCTTAAGTAGTTTGTAGTCTGTGGAAGATGAATACACAAAAAGCTCTGATGATAGGCTGAACCATGAGCATTATGAGTTTAATGAAAGTAATGTCATATGTTCTTCTATAATTGCATCACAAAACCAAAATGAATTTATAGAATTTCAGAACTGAGAATACATTGAAAGTATGCCATAATCCAATGTGCTACATCAAAGGTCCTGAAACATTTTAGATTTAGATAAAAGCCTCCAGTGATTATAATATGTATAGCTCATACCATCCTACTCTTCCCATGAGAACTGCCCCCCGAGTGAGTTCAATTCTCATTTCACAATTGGAGAAACTAAGTCAACTGACCTAAAAGTCAGTAAAATCAGATGCCCCAAATGACAGCTGTAACGCAGGAGTCTGTTATTGACCTTACATTCAATAATGTAAACTCTAGTCTTTGAAGCTTCACATTTAGGAGGAATAATTCCTGGGCCTCCTCAGGAATACTGCTATAGTCTTCACATTTCCCCAACAAGCACCAACCCAGTGACAAGTGGAGAACAGAGCTCTGTTAGAAGGTGGATTCTCAGAGGCTGGCTAGGCTCACTTACTAGCTAGATGAGTGAAAAATACACATCAGCTTTTGTAGTTCAGAAGCGATTCAAATTCAGCAAAATTACAAATGACCACCAAGAACCTGAGGGTTGCCCTGGAAGAGTCCAAGATCTGAATGCCAATCGATAAAAACCTGGCCTGTTCAGCAGCTGCTGCCAGAACTTCAACCAGTAGAACATCTGCTTCTTTGAAATGCCACTCATAATACCACACACCAATATAAACAGAGATATTTTTAAAGTTTAATCTCCTTAATTTTTAAAGTGCCATAGCCTAATTTTTAACCCCGAATTAAAATATTTTTACAAATTAATCAGTCGTCTAGTAGTTTCCGTCTTTCTGCGTGTACATACCTATGTATTGTACAAGGCACAACTATGAACACATATATATGAATAACTGTCTTTCAAAAACAAGCAAGATATAGGTAACAGTTATTGATCAGACTTGGCCTGAATATTTAAAAACCTGTTAGCCCTTTCTATACTAGATACCAGCCTTTCATAAGAGGCTATAAAATCAGAGAGAAAGAGATAGAGAGATTCAGAGAAATGCAGTATATATGTATTTTTAAGAATGCCAACAGTCTTCTGGTTCTAAAAAGAATGAACATTTAATTATTACGGTCTATTTTAAATCCTTCTAAATTGTCCTGTACAGCCGCTAT